CAATTTGTAAAATTTGCAATTTGCAATTTGCATTTCAAGTACTAGAGACTTGTGCTTTGGAATGTACACACATATTCACCATACGATTACACTCTGAAAGTTTTATTAAGATCGTATGTCTACAAAAGAAATTATTCGACAAATAAATTCTCATAATATTGCCCACACTGCCGCGCAGCCCAAGCGCAGTCGCTGCTTACTGCACAGTTAGCAGAGCGCAGGCTTATGCGTGCGTGTGGATGCATGTGTATGTATGTGTACATAAAAGAAGTGCAGAATGATTAGAATATTAGCTTAGAGGGTTCAGGGTATCTCCTAGTCGATCAGTCTCAACTAGAGTCTTCTTACTTGTTTTTGTAGATGGACTTTCGAAATCAAGCTCAGAATGTGATAGAGGCATTCATTTGGATACATTTACCATATGGGTATATATGTACTTACATACATATAAAATCATTATACATTACATATAATGCACTCGTTATTCATTATTCTATGTATAAGGCAGATATATTTTAAAATGTAATTAACAAAACAATCTATGTTAGAAGGTTCAATGAAATACAACAGGAAATATTGATTGTAATCATTCATAATTTTTTAGTATTGTACGACACTTTTCCAAATCACTCAAAAACACTTTAATTTATTTACACCGATAACACGACTGTAAAAATTGAGCTAGTTGTGGGTACATTTCATCGATAAGATACGACTAGACTAGCATCTATTAAACCTGCATATACTGTTTTTGACAAGCAATAAAATTAAGCATCCGGTGGTTGAAAATAATGGATTTCTGATATACATATGTATATTGATTAACCTAAGATTTACCTGCGATTGTAGAATCATAGGATCATTTGTGGTTCTTTACTTAAACTCAATTCAGTCTCGATTTAATCCTATTTCTAATCTAATCCTAGCCTAAGCTAGGAGAACACATAAATAGAATGTATAGGCCATGTTAAAAATAATAAAAATTTATGGTTTATAATGGAATAATTGCTAATGGCTGAGTTAATATCAAGAATTAATCCGCAGAGGGAAAGAAATTTGTGGGGGTTTAGGTAAGTTTCATTCTGATAGACATTAAACAATTACGTGTTTATTGTCTATTAAAAATTCAAGTAGAAGCCAAAGCTGACGACTCAGGATATTTACTTAGTATATTTATACTTGAGGTATAGATTTTTACATTCTACTGCCCTGCATCTATCCCAACCCTTCATTTGAGTTTATTATCTTATTTAAACTGACGGAAATTCTACTTAAATCTGGCTGTCAATTGATAATGAGGGATTTCTAATAAACAATATTTATACTAAATCCCAGATCTTCTTTCATTGAAATTTACTGTCAATTCATGCTACTAGAAAATGTATCTAGAAAATGCTAACATTCTATTTTACAAAGGCTGCAATCAGTTTATGCTCCCGAATTCTCCAATTTCTAGTCTAGCAACGGACAGGCAGACTGTCAGACGAAGAATTTCATGGACATTGCCAAAAACCAACTCATAAACCAGCTTAATGCAGTTTCCTACTATCTATCTGATATATCATTTGGTCACGAATCGAAAACGTGATTTTTAAGAGTTAGCAGAAGTGGGCGTACTCGCATATCAATCAAATTCTTTGCAAAAACTTTAATTTATTTGCACAGATAAGGAAATTGTAAAAACCGCGTACTGACAGATACTCAGTACATTTAATCGAAACTATATTATTAAATGTATCAAAAACCAAACAGCTCCGAAACTAGAATAACTGTGGACAAGTCAATCGAGCAGATCGCCACGTTACCACAAGTTGACTCCGAAAGCATTGAAGTGCGGTTACTGATTTCAATTAAACTTTCAGTCGAGGATCTACAAATATTATAACTACTATTTAAGTGGCAGATTATATTAAATATTCCATATTTGCATATATTGCTTAGGTTTGGAAATGAGTTTAATATAAACTAATTTCAAGCTCTAAAAAGTTAACGATTTTGCTTAAATTAAAATGAAACCATGACTTCCTGCAAAATCAACTCAGGTCATTATCCGCCGCAATACTACACATATGATATGTGCCACGTCTACTTCTAATCGATATATATGTATATCAAATGTCCACTGCATATCGAGGTGTTCAATTTATCAGACCAAATAATGACAAGACAATAATTAAATTTATGAACCAAGATTTGATACAAAGTTTCGATTGAAATCAATTCGTGCTATTGAAATACAAATAATTTCAATACCGTCCTTAACTTATCAGCCTCGGACAAGGATTAGGTACGAATAAAATTTATGAGCCATGATTAGCAAAATAAGACTTTAGAGAGACTTTGATAAGAGAAAGTCAAATGTGTATATAAGCATTTGAAATGTTTGCTTAGGCCACAATAGACATTCAAGAATGAAGTTATTTGTATTTCTGATCTTTGCTGTAGCAACAGCCACCGCTGTCCCCACCGGAGCAAAGAAACCTTTGCGGGTGATGGATATGCCCAAGCAGGGCAGCATCGAAGGTCGTATTACAAATGGCTATCCAGCATATGAGGGCAAGGTACCCTATATTGTGGGCCTGAGCTTCAACGGCGGCTGGTGGTGCGGTGGTTCAATTATTGGCCACACCTGGGTCCTGACTGCCGGCCACTGCATTAAAGATGGCTCCGGCGTAACCATCTACTATGGTGCCAGCTTCCGTCATGAGGCTCAGTTCACCCACTGGGTCAGCGGCAACGACCARATCCGTCATCCCCACTACAATGATCAGCTGAACAACGATATTGCCCTTATCCGTACACCTCATGTCGACTTCTGGCACTTGGTCAATAAAGTTGAGCTTCCCAGCTACAACGATCGCTACAATAGCTATAATGGCTGGTGGGCTGTGGCCTCTGGCTGGGGACACACCTCCAATGACAGCGGCATGCACAACTATCTGAACTGTGTGGATGTCCAGATCATCAGCAACGACGAGTGCCGCAACGTCTATGGCGGTGGCTACGTGATCGACAACACCATCTGCATCAACACATCTGGCGGCAAGTCCACCTGCAGCGGCGACTCTGGCGGCCCATTGGTTACACACGACGGCAACCGAATTGTGGGCATTACATCCTTTGGTCATTGGGACGGCTGCACTGCCGGCCAACCCGCTGGCTTCACTCGCGTCACTGGCTACCTGGACTGGATTCGTGACAATACTGGTATCTCCTACTAAATGGAATACTTCTAAATAATAAATATTCAAAGCTTATAGCCAAAAAAAAAAAAAAAAAAAAAAAAAAAAACATTAGCATCGATATTTGGGAAGTGGATTGGATTCTGTTATAGAGTGTTCCCAGCTTGCACTTAATGTCTATGAGCATCAGTGGATTTACTATCCTGCCCATCTTAATATAAGCAAGTCCCACTCAAAAGTTCAATTCTCTTGATTTTACTATCTAATCTCAACTGGCGGAAATTGTATTTATATCGGACTGACAAGACTTGTTCGCGATAGACCCTAATCAAAACACAGATTATTATTCTCATGGCTAAATTCATTCATAAAAATTTCGGGAGCAACTGATAACGAGCAACTCATGATAAAGAATCTTTATGCGCGTGGATATATCTCTACTACCCAGAGTCAGCGAAGCACCGCATTCCTATCCATGAGAAGAGAGCTCCATGGCAACTAAAACCTTCTGAATCGTAGACGCAACTTCTAGAATTCATCAAAAATTGATGTATTTGCTTGGCAGTCAATCCCAATGCTCAATTTATTTGCAAATACTTTTAATATAATGTTTTGAAGCTCTATCAAATCGGCTAGAATCCCACAGGTCTAACAGCAAAACTAATTAAGTTAAATTTCGTGAACAATAGAAGAAACGCATCGAGATATCGATCTATAGATTCAATGTTTCGATTTTTCAAATGGCTTCATATCCCTCCCAATTTTCCTAGTGAGTAATTAAATGGTCACGTACTTTTCATGCCTCTTTTATTTCTGTTATTTTTCAATTTAATAGTAGGCTACGCCAGAGTTGTCGCGGATCCACTCCAACTGGTTGGTGACCCGAGTGAAGCCAGATGGCAGACCAGCAGTGCAGCCCTTACCAGAAACCCAAGAGGTGACACCCACCAATTTGCCACCATCATGGAGCACCAATGGGCCGCCAGAGTCCCCGCTGCAGGTAGACTTACCGCCGGGCGTGGAAACACACAAAATACCATCGGGTTGATGGCCATAGGTCTGGGAGCACTGGCTATTGCTGATGATCTGCAGGTCCACGCATTGCAGCCAGTCGGGTTGGGAGCCGCCATCAGAGGTTATGCCCCACCCACAGGCAACAGCCCACCAGCCATCGTACATGTTGTAGCGATCGTTGAAGCTGGGCAGCTCTACCTTGTTTACCATTGACCAGAAATCGACATGAGGAGTGTGGATCAGAGCGATATCATTACCATTGTTGTGTGGCCAGTTGTGGTTCTGTCTGAACTCTCCGCTGCCCACAGTGTGGGTGAACTGGGCGTTGGTACGCCACGTTGCACCGTAGTATATGGTCACAGAGCTGGCGCCGTTGGTGCAGTGAGCAGCTGTCAGCACCCAGTCGTGAGCAATGATGGAGCCACCACACCACCAGCCATTGAAGCTTAAGCCAACGGTGTAGGGGGCCTTGCCCTCRTATGCGGGGTAGCCATTGGTAATGCGACCCTCGATCTTGGCAGACCTGGGTAGATCCTTGGGATGGACCTGCTCCACTGTTTCCGCGGAAAGGGCAGCGACTGCTAAAGCGAGTACTATGAAAGCCTTCATGCTTAACACACAATTGCTGTCTTTCGACGCAATGAAGCGTATTTTATATAGGTTTTGTATCATATCAATTGTACTTCAACAGATATCAAACACTCATTCAAATTGTATATACATATATTCATTTATTTCAACGTTCAAAAAGAAATGCAGATAACAAGATTTTTGAGCTGCCCGCGCATTGTGCGCTTATCAAAGTTTCGCATAATATACCATAACCTTTATTTGCCCCGACATCTCACTATTACCTATATACAAATAATAAATAGGGGCCACAGGTTCCTTTTCCAGTTTAAACGAAGACAAAGAAAATACAACTCGACTATCTTGTTTTATATATCTATATTCTATAGTTTTGCATATCAGCCATCAGAATTTTTAACATTTAATAATATTCAGTACGTTTTCATAAACGCACTTTAATGTTAAATACAAGTCAGAGTACTAAACAATTTAATTTTCATGACGTATTTCAATTTTTAAATTAGCCGCTACGGTGAGACGACATCTATTGGAGATGACGGTAAGCATTCAAACGCGACTAAGCAAGTTTTAATCGATATACATCGATAAGAAATCGACCAAATAAAGAGGTTATGTTAATAACAGAGAAAAACAGCTGGAAACTCTAACGCTGAAACAGTCACAACATTCGGAATTGCTGCTATTTTTTTAATTAATTTTTATTTATTTATTTATTTTATCAACAACAGAAAAACAAATAAATAACCTGAAATACATAAATAGTTATAAGATCCCAAACAAAATTAAATTTCGCATATTGCACTTAACATCATATTGAATGTTAAAATATTTTTCCCAGCTATGTTAAATAACATAGTTGCTTCATTTTCAGCTTCGTCTTAAAAATCAAAAAAGGAAAATAGTAAATATCAACACTAAGCGGCTGAAGCGCAGGAAAAAATCTTGATATTCAACAGCATGTTATAGATTGAATAATGGAAAATATTGTGCACAAATTTGCAACGATTAGTTTTCAGCCACAAGAGGTTGTCTTAACAGAGAATCGGTAAGTTCACCGAAGCGAAAGAAGCAAAAAGAAACATTAAAAGTAAATGGAGACAACGTAATATTTTAGCACTGCACCAATTTCCAAGTTTTCTTGGAACCTTAAATCAGGGGCTCCCACAAATATAGCCGATGAAATGCTGGACTCGGAAAGCCCTGATACGGACCACTCGGATGAGGTGGACTCGCAGCTGAGCCGCGGCGAGGATAACGACGAAAGTGATAGCTATAGCAGCAGCTACCGCAATGGTCGTCGTGGCGGAGTTGCCCGACGGCGAATGCCCGCTCGCATCTCTAAAGACAATTTTAATCGGGTGTGCAGCACTATTATGCGTACAGAAGTGAAGAAGAAACGTAATGAGCTGCAAACAAATGAACAGATGCTGCGCAGCATTGAGAAGATCTACACGAACAAGCGCATGAAGAAATTTACGCCTACTAGTCTGGAGACTATATTCGAGGAGCCCAGCGATGAAAATGCCGCCGATGCGGAGGACGATAGCGAGGAATGCGCCATTACCAGCCAAGTGCGGGTTGTTAAATTCGGTTCTCGCAAGTTGCGACGGGCCATCTCCTTTAACGATGGCCTCACAAAGAACAAGAATCTTATCAAAAAACGCCGCTTGAAGGTGAAGAAAACGTTTGGTAAACGTTTTGCACTTAAAAAGATCTCAATGACTGAATTCCACGATCGACTTAACAAAAGTTTGGACAGCGCCATGTCTGATACTGGCGACGATGTACCAACTAGCAGCATTACGGATATAAAGTCCACAGTCAGTACATTCATGGACGATATGCAACTAGCGAGACATACGCCGACATTTGAATAGATAGGGGGAGTCGTCGGACGGTCTTTAAGGAGAAGCTTTGATGAACAGAATGGAACAGGCTAAAATTTAAATACATTAACAGATTCAGGAATGATGACAAATGAAGTAAATTGTACGTCACCGAAGTATATGGCTGCCGTCAACAGTCAAGATTAGCTCAATAAAACAGCGGGATCTTTGTTCCCTAATGGACTTATTGCCTGGTCAATTGTACTGATTATCAATTTAGCTAAGTCTTATGTAAGATTTTATTTATTTAATGTTTATATAGGAAGTGCAGTTGAGCATTAAAACATAATTTAATTTAATTTAAGCATTATTCGCATTGAGCGCCTGAAACTATTTATGTTCTATGTTTATGTATGGTCTTAAATATATGTAAGCCTGAATACAATTCCAAATTCGATTTAGCAATGAATATAATTGTAGCAATTTATAATGTATTGATTGTTTCTATTACTTGTCTTAAGCTCAACTCGGAACTGCATGCGCAATGCCGTAAAAGCAACAAATCAATAAAACAAAAAATAATTTAATTTAAACGATCATAAAGTGCAAAGAGAAGTAAGTTGTAATCACTGACATTATCCAAATGATAAATAGTTCGATCGTGGTGCTAAATTAAATAACGGCAAATGCATTAGCAACTGCAATAAAATTCATGTGCTTATTATTCAGCCCACACATACATATTTACTTGCATATCCACATACATACATATATAACAYGCAAGAGCGGTAATCATAATTTCGATTATGTATTAAATATCCACGCATGAAACTGAAAACGAAGTAAAGAAACAAATCAAGAAAAGTAAACTTTTAATACAACACACCGAACAGTAAATACTCTGCGTTTATCATCAAAGCATATTTAAGAAAAGGGACATATTTTGTAGTATTAGCATTTGCGATTTGTTAATAACATTATATTGATAAAAAATCAATAACAATATAATTCATATTTGTTTATAATCGAGATAGTAAGTACTCATTAAAGCATGTAGGCAAATTGCTCTCGTACGCTTAGTATTCCTCGAAACTAACTAAAGAGCACAGCGAAAAAGCGCTAGCCGCAAAAAAAAGGTCTACCAAAACGAGAGACGAAAAGATTTGCATAATCGACGCCGCTGCTTTTATTTTGTGTTGCTGTTGCTGTCATTACTGTTGTTGTAGTTGCTCCAATGCAGTAGCTGCTGATTGTTGTATTTTGTTGTTGTTAGCCTCATTACATTTGAACATATCACCGATCGCGAGACGATTTGATTTATTTGCTTCGCTAAGCAGGCAAAGTGAGCCGCATTTCCTAAATCGACAAAAATAATAATGCCAGCCCGCAAACCAAGAAATACTTTCAACACCAAATTAAAGTTATTTCAACGAATTAATTTAATTATAAATATATGCAACACGTTAGCAGCAGTTGCTACAGAAGGGATGGGTGCCGGGGTATTTTTGATTTCCTGCTATCGCAAATTCTTCAGTTTCATTCACATGCAAACAATGCTGTCAATTTGCCTATAACTGCGCTCTGCCCTCACAATAACCTTGGCTTGAGTAAAGAAGAGAAAAGCAAAGCAGCCTACTTGGTGGCACAGTGGGCAACCCACACTGTAAAATGTACGAGTTGTGAGTTCACGAATATTGCATGGGAGCGAACACAATACAGCCCACTGCCCACAGCCGACTGTAATCGGTGCATCTATGGTATAAGGGGCATGTCAAAGCGCTGAGCGGGGTAAACAATGCAAAAGACAAATGTATCGTGTAATGTTTTTTGTCTCACTTACCTTTTGCCGTCAACAATAACAATAACAACATGCGGTATTTTTCTGAATGAAAGCATTTTGCCGCATGCTGCGCATTTCACTGCCTACACACACACAGGCGCGTGATGTAATAGCTCCAAAGCGAGTTGAGAGGATAAGTAACTAGAGTTACAGCTACATATGTATGTACGTATATGTATATTTACTTTTGAAACTGTAAATGGTAATAACAACACCGCGAGCAACGAGCAGATATGACCGTCGACGATGCTTGTCCAGATTTGGCTTGCGCACGCACAACACGAAAAACGCGCACTATAGTAGGAGCCGGCTCCAAAGGGCGAATGACAAATGTCAAAAGAAATACATACGACGCAAACATAATAAAAGCGCAAGCGTAACACACAGGTCGCAAGAGAGTAAGAGAAAGGAGAGTGATACCAAAAGAGTGCAAGTGGCGGACAGAATAGTGCAAAGAGAGCGTTAATGCAAAAATTGTATATTGAAACGAATGCAATAGGCGGCGACGCGTCGCTGTCGACGTCCAATTAATACAGCAAAGTAGACGCAATAATTAAAGCAAAGGAAAGAGTTTATAAAAATGCTTGCAACATGCGCGCGCCACCACAGTTGTAAGCGAGACGCTGACCGACAACGAGAGTCCAAGACCAAGGAGAGTATCAAGGCAGCAACATTTACGCGCCCCTCGTAACGGCTTTTCGAAAACTAAACGGGAAACGATTTCAAACGCATTAAAAAAGAGGAGAAAGACTCTTTGTGTGTGTATGCGTGCACTCACGCGTGTGTGTGTACAGCTTAATTAAATTTCAATTAAATATTAAATGCGTGCGCCAGCAGTAAGCAGCAAGAAAAAGCAAAGCAAATGGTTTTACAGTCGGCAAGTGTTTCAATTATTGCGGCATTGACAGCACAACGCCTGTTACTGTCGCTGGTCACCTGGATGACCTGGCGCTGCTGCATCCATGTGGCTGTTGCACTAGACTGGCAACAGGTTAAGCCCATGTATTTAGTGTCCATGTATCCGAGCCCGTTTGGCATGCCCATGTCACAAACGCTTTCAACCACCTCCTTGTCCGCCGAACTAGATGCGGAAATGAGCGCTAGCAATGACGATAGCCGCATCAGCGACAGCTCAGCGGGTTCTGCGGAGATTTCAGCGGAGCCAGAGCCCCTGGTGTTAAATTTGGAAACAACACCATTGATGGACAGCATGTTGCCAGAAGGTGCGATGGCGATGGATCGTATCTTTGGCGGCGATGTGGGCAATCCACATTGTTTTCCCTATCAAGTGGGCATGCTGCTGCAGCGTCCAAAGGGTCTCTATTGGTGCGGCGGTTCGCTAATCTCGGAGCAGCATGTGCTAACAGCTGCACACTGTGTGGACATGTAGGCCAAGGTAAATTAATAGCAATGTTTATGTTTAGCTAAGCTGCTCCTTCTGCTCCCTTTTACAGGGCCAAACGCGCGCTGGTTTTCCTGGGAGCAAATGAGATTAAGAATGCTAAAGAGTCGGGACAGGTGCGTCTCATGGTGCCGAGCAGCAATTTTCATATCTATCCCACGTGGAATCCCAAACGCTTGAAAGATGATATTGCAATAGTGCGTCTGCCACATGCAGTTAGCTTTAACGGTAAACTAATCCGTATCTCATCTATGCATCTGAAACTAAACTTTTTGTCTTATCAGAGCGCATCCATCCCATACAGTTGCCAAAGCGGCACTACGAGTATCGCAGCTTTAAAAACAAGCTTGGTATTGCCTCCGGCTGGGGACGTTATGCTACAGGTGTACATGCCATAAGCAATGTGCTGCGCTATGTCCAACTGCAGATCGTCGATGATCGCACCTGTAAGCGTAACTTTCCATTATCATTTCGCGGCACAAACATATGCACCAGTGGACGCAATGCCAAGTCTACTTGCAATGGTGATTCTGGTGGCCCACTTGTGCTACAGCGCCGTCATTCAAAGAAACGTGTTCTGGTTGGCATCACCTCGTTTGGCAGTATATATGGCTGCGATCGTGGCTATCCGGCTGCCTTCACTAAGGTGGCCTCTTACCTGGACTGGATTAGCGATGAGACAGGCGTGCATTCGCACCAGGATACCACCGAAGCAATTTTCTTTGATCAGTATGTCAAGAAATATGCCAAGCAGCAACCCAAACGTAATCATCAGATGGTGGACGATGTACCCGACGAACTGGACATCCATCACCCATTGTCCGATGAGGATACGTCGGAGAATCTTAACATACGGCCACATTCCAAACAGAAATCAGAATTCGACTTTTATTTCTTGTAGCTGCCAAGTATTCAGCAAAATAAACCTTTATTTTAAGCATACATCTTTAATAACCATGACTAACCACGCCAATGTTATTCTCGAACCAATCTAAATAAGATGCGATTCGCACAAACACACCTGGCCAGCCAACAACAATGCCGAACGAAGTAGCACCTATCAAGGTGTTGCTGCTATCCGCCAGGACTAAAGGACCACCGGAATCACCGTTACAGGTGGAAGTGCCGCCAGTGGTCTTGATACACATTACGTTACTAGTCAAAATACCTCCGTACCAGCACTACAGCACTACATGATTGTCAGTGACACCAGTTGCACATTTTTAAAAAGATATCACTTAGTGGTGCTACTACTACTACTACTACTATTAACTGTTGACACCATTGACACCACCTACTATCACTGATCTTGCCCCAGCCGGAAGCGATCGCCTGCTCGCCGTCGTAAGCATTGTACGACTCCTGTTTGATAGGCAGCTGAGCGGGTTGAATATATTCATTGAGCTCGATAGGTACGGATAGCTTAATGACCGATATATCGTTGGATAGGGTGGATGCATCTCATCCCTCATGCACAGTTATGTACTTTGTCGGCACAAAGATAATCTGCTGACCTTGTTCTCATTTGTTAGTACGATTCCAGGCGCCCAGATAGATAGGTACAGCATTAGACTGACCTGGTACGGAAACTGATTTCTGCCAGCTGTTTCACCCCTGGGAATGCGTCCGGCACGCACATTATGGCGATGAATTGGTAATTTGAGATCAATGTCCACCGATATGAGCGACTGCTAGTCCACGGCCGTGGTACCGTTTACGACGGATAGGACCAGCACCGATGCGTAAACGTATTTCATATTTGTCAACTGAGCTCACAAGCCATTGGGTATAATCTTATACAGCTACATAATGGCCAAACAGTTAGCTAATCGGCTTCATACAGTATCGCTTATCAGTCTTAGAAGAACTGATTTACGATGATTGCTGAAATTGCTACTGATCCATAAATTATTAATAGTGGCTATAAAAAGTGCTACGTAATTGATAAATTTTGCTAACTTGCTTAGAAATATCGTTATATACTAGTTTTTCCATTTGGTTTCTAAATGCATTGCATATCATTTTTCTTATTCTTATAAAATTATAAAATTTGTCCACTTAATAGCCAGAAAAACCAAAATAAACGATTATTTTTATATTCCTTCGACAATGTAAGCTTTTACTCTAAGCTCGCTTTAACATTTAGATGCCCTTGTTAACAACACCGGAGTTTTCTTCGATCCAGTCCAAGTAGGAGGTGATGCGTGTGAACACACCTGGCCAGCCAACCTCGCAGCCAAGAGTAATGCCAAAGGAAGTGGCACCAATTAAGGTGTTGCTGCCATCATTTAATACCAAAGGGCCGCCGGAGTCGCCGTTGCAAGTGGAAGTGCCGCCAGTAGTCTTAATGCAAATGTGTGTTGAGCTCACGGAACCAATGTACCAAGGTGAGCAGCCTGAGTTGTTCATGATGGGGACAGTAATATACTGCAATATGTCAGTGGCACCACTTGCCTCTAAAAAAATATAGCACGATAAGCTAACTACTTCAAAAAGAAATCTAATTTAGAGCTTACGATCGGAAGTCTTGCCCCAGCCAGAGGCAATAGCCTGTTCGCCAGCATATGTGCTGTACTGGCCACTCTTGACAGGCAGCTTGGCTGGTTGAATATATTCGTTGAATACTATTTCCACGGGCAGTTTGATGAGAGAGATATCATTAGTGAGGGTGGATGGGTCCCACTTCTCATGCACAATCACGGATTTGGTCTGCACAAAAATAATCTGTTGACCTTCCTCCTTCTTATTGGTGCGATCCCATGCGCCCAGATAGACATCCACGCCGGTGGTTAGAGAGTCTGTGCAGTGAGCAGCCGTAAGAATATAGCGTTCGCTGATCACAGTGCCTCCACACCAGGCAGCTCCTCCATCGACATAGAGCATGAGTCCCGCCTGATAAGGGAATTGATTACGTTCAGCAATCTGGCCACTGGTGATGCGCCCGGCTGGTGAATCGTGACGACGAATCATAGGCACTTTAACATCAACGTCCAACGACTTGAGGGACTTCCAGTCCACGGCGCTGGTGCCGACAACGGCAACAAGAAGCAGAATCGATGCACAAGCGAATTTCATGATGAAAACAACTGAAGAAACTTGGCCAAGTCGACGATCTTTTATAGCAAATAAAGCTAGGCGACTGCATCATATATCTTGAGCTATCGCATATACCTAATCATTTGATTTACAATGGAATACTGATTGTGGCTATTTCTAGTTCCGATGCCTTGATAATTGGCGTGTGCTACTTAATAAACCTATAAATGGGAAATTCCTTGGAAGGAACATTCTTATTATTTTTTTCCAGTCGAGACTGCTCGACTAGGAAATACCCTGAACCCTCCAGGCTAATATTCTAATCATTCTGCACTTTTTCTATGTACACATACATACACATGCACTTATAAGCACGCGCTCTGCTAACTGCACAGTAAGCAGCGGCTGCGCTTGGGCTGCGCTGCAATGTGGGCAATATTATGGCAATTTATTTGTTGAATAATTTCTTTTGTAGACATACAATCTTAATGAAACTTTCAGAGCGTAATCATATGGTGTGTACATTCTAAAGCACAAGTCTCTAGTACTTGAAATGCGTTTTTTACAAATTGGGGGCGAATGGGGCGTGGTATCCAAAATCTGTAAAATACAAAATCTTTGTCCATCTTTGTCCATTAACTCTATATACAACGTAAATTTGAAGTCTCCAGGATTAAAAGTGTTTAAACTAGGCTGAAAAAACCAAGTCGATTTTTCGATTATTCTCGATAAAAAAGTTGTCGGATGAGTTATCGAAAAAATAAAGCAAACTCGTACTGCCTATGGTATACACGAGTATGCATGCCAAATTTCAGCTCTCTAGCTCTTATATCTTCTGAGATCCTTTTGCTCATACGGACGGACGGACNCTATGGGAGCTTAATTGCTTAATTACTTTTCTTATCTTTTCTTGTCGTTGATGTCGACTATCTCCATGAAACTTTTAGATCGGGATCATAACATTGAAATGCGTGCAGGTGCCAAAGTACAAGTCTCTAGTATTCGAAATACGCCACTTACAAATATGTGGGTAATAGGGTGGACATAGGTTTAAATTACAACAAAAATCGAAATTATATAAAATACATATAACGCTACATTTAAGATTGGAGACTGTAGCTCTAAAGGTGTAGGAGATATAATTAAATAACTAGTCTTCGATAAGGGTATGTATCAATAGCAAAATATCGGGAGTAGTTATCGATATTGGGAGAAAAACGATATGTGCGTGATATACACGGACCTTGGAAACAAAATTTCAAGTCTCTAGCTAAGACGGACAGGGCTGAATCGACTCAGCTCGTCGCCCTAATCTAGAATATATGTATATACTTTGTGGGGTCTACCACGCCTCCTTCTGCCTGTTACATACTTTTAACAAAACCATTATACCCTGATTTCCCATTTTCAATGGGTTCAGGGTATAAGAATTGAAACAAAAGTAATTTATTTATCTCCATTCACAAACCAAATCATTCTCAAACTTTCGGCATAGATAATACATAATATCTAATTAGTACACTTCAAATACTCTACTAATTAACACCTGCCGATGGAGATTTATGAAGACATAGATACATAGCCGATAGAGGCATTCATATACATATTTTATTATGTACTTACTTCCTTACACCTCCACCAAATTTGCATTTAATAAAGCGGTTTTAGCTTTTTGTCGTATCTTACGAGATTATAAGTATTATAAACACTCATAAAAATAATAATAGTATAAATTTTCTATGCAAAGCAAAGAATTAAAACGAAAACTGATTTTGATTTTTATTTAAATAATATTCATTTGTTTAACTGAAGGTCAAATTAATCTGAATACCCGGAAAACACACCTTCATGAGTTTAATGTGACTTTTGAATGCTCTGTAAAAAAGATCTTGTTCTGTGCTGATTACAAAAACACCCAAATATGTGCATCAACAATATTAGTTTGATGTCAAAATATTAGAAATGCAATATATATTAATAGATACAGCAGAAACATATTACTTCAAAATAAATATATTCACCGGCAGAGGAGCAGTGTTGCACAGCCTGATGGAATGCATTTAAAGCCAAATGCTTATCGTTTTGCCTGAGCAAGAAGTGGTCGTGCTGATTGTTTTGTCGCCTGATTTCCCTTATTCCTTGAAGGGCATATATTTATATATTTATTTGAGTTTCCTGCTTACTTTTGCTGACCCTGTGTCGTCCTGTAAACTAAAAGCAGCCCAATTAAAGCATAATATATTTATACCCTCAGCCCATTGAAAATGGGAAATCAGGGTATAATGGTTTTGTTAAAAGTATGTAACAGGCAGAGGGAGACGTGACAGTATATATATTTTTAATCAGGGCGATGAGCTGTCGATTTAGTCCTGTCCGCCTGCTGTCCGTCCGTCCGTCCGTATGTATGAACACGTCGATCTCAGAAGATATAAAAGCTAGCGACATTTTTTTCCTAGATTAATGTTTAATGTTTTCTCCAAAAAAAAAAAAAACGATAACTGCTCCCGATATTTATACCCTGAACCCATTGAAAATGGGAAATCAGGGTATAATGGTTTTGTTAAAAGTATGTAACAGGCAGAAGGAGGCGTGGYAGACSCCAMAAAGBATATATATTCTTGATCAGGGCGACGAGCTGAGTTGATTTGGCCCTGTCCGTCTGTCTGTCCGTCCGTCCGTCCGTCCGTCCGTCCGTCCGTCCGTCCGTCCGTCCGTCCGTCCGTCCGTCCGTCCGTATGTATGAACGCGTCGATTTCAGAAGATATAAGAGCNTCCAAATTTTTAATGTATGCTTATATGCAATTTATACAATTTCGGTTTTTGTTAAAATTTACCCCCCACCCTTAAATTCACCCCCTCACCCTCACTTTTGTAAAAAGCGTATTTCAAATACTAGAGACTTGGGCTTTGGAATATACACACATATTCACCATATGATTACGCTCTAAAAGTTTCATTAAGATCGTATGTCTACAAAAGAAATTATTTAACAAATAAATTCTCATAATATTGCCCACACTGCAGCGCAGCCCAAGCGCAGTCGCTGCTTACTGCGCAGTTAGCAGAGCGCAGGCTTATGCGTGCGTGTGGATGCATGTGTATGTATGTGTGCATAAAAGAAGTGCAGAATGATTAGAATATCAGCTTGGWKRGKTHAGGGTATMTCSTAGTCGAGCAGTCTCGACTGGAGCTTTCTTACTTGTTTGTTATAAATTATATCTTGTGTAAGCAGAAACACGCGAATAGCTATTGAAATATCAATTCTTATCAGAGTTCAGGGATTTCGTAGTCAAACAGTCCCGACTATAGCTTTCTTACTTGTTGAATATTAAAAATTTATCAATATAAAATGGCATTTAAAGCAAAATCAAAGTAGCCACCATTGCAAATTAAACAGAGATCAGTATCTCGAAACTCAAATC